GTGGAAGGTGTCCCTGCCCATGGCAGGGGGATTGGAACTAGGTGATCTTTAAGGTCCCTTCCAACCCAAACCATTCTATGATTCTATGAAGACAGAGACTTTTTTTCAAGTATCGTAGAAATCTTTAGCCTGGTTCTGTTTGCTAAATAATAATGTGATATAACAGGTTAGTGAGTACTCAGTATGGTAGTGTATGAATTTACAGCACACCAGCTACTCTACACAAGCTCCCCATGGGATGCTCTGAGTGTACACTAACTTTGAGTTAACTGTAATGTACAGTAAATTATCCTGCACAAAGGCATTCTTAGTGCACAGTTTTCGAGCTGGCATACTACTTACTCTGCAATTCTGTTTAACACCCTGACATAAATACAGCTATGTAAAGAGACTCCAGACTTCTTTTGTATCTGCTACTTCAAAAATCCGTTTTTCTTCATGCTCAGTAAACTACATCAACCAAAACTTGCAAATGTTTCTATCAGAAAGCAGTAAACCACAGTGCTTTCTATGATACGCTTGCAAGAAAGGGTAGGTAGTAGACTTGAGTGATGCTTTTTCTTCAATAGCCAGTCTTCTGCTAATCAAGGCTTTGCATAAATAATAAGGCACTCCAGGCTTTGCATAAATAATAAGGCCCTCCATAGGCCATGAAGAAAAATGGTTCTCTTGCTCTTTAATTGGTGGTGCTTGAGGACTTCACATCCTCTTATAACAACCTTTAGAAGACTTGATCGATACGTGTTTTTCCTCATCCGGTGCTCAGGAAGTCTTAATGAATAAAGTGGCAGCTGGTCTCCAAATAAGTAATGCTGAAATAGAAAAAATAAACAAAAATTATAATGTTAATTTTCTATCCTCCAGACTCGTTTCAACCAGTGTCTCAGTAACCAGGATTTTGCCTTGGATGAAGACGATGATGATGAAATGGAGAGAACAAGCAAGTAAGAAGCCTGTTTGGATGTGTGTGTATGTATGGGAGAAAGGGTAGCTAGTGTTTTTCAGCAAAGTTGAGTTCAAGTGACACATTTTTCTTCTGTCCAGGCTGCTAGCTTGATTCTTGATGTAGATGATGTCAAGTAGTTTAGGATTAAATCTGCTTTCAAAAAGAGGGACAGCCTATTACATCTTTTCATTATTTATAGTGCCTGGAAGAGCTTGACATAATCCTCAGTCTTCACAGACTCAAGATAAAAAGATAGACTACATACACAAAGAAGCGGTGAAATAATATTTGTCAACATGGTGGGCAGTGACCTCAGCTAATCTATTCTTTAAGGCTTGGGTTGTGGTCATGATAACGGAAAGTTTTCTGAAGGGTCTGAAAGAGAAATATTGCCTTGTGAGTTTTATATCAAGGTCTTCCTATGTGTGAATTAAAGGAAAATCATAAGTTGAGGCTTAAGCTGCATTGGGGCATTCTCTGATTGAAATCAGGAGATGATTTTGATAATGAACATATAGATATAAACTATGAAGGACCCTGAAAGCAAATTCAAGCAGCTTAAGCCATGATGCAGTAGGGAAGAGGGAGCTACTGAAGTGTTCAAAGGATATCATCAAAACAGTGAGCCATGGAAATACCCTTTGTAGTAGTATTCTGGATAGACAGAGGTAAGGAAAGACTGCAGTAGTATGGGGGTCAGAGGTAAGGATATTGCCATGAATGAAAGAGAAAATAAGAGACAAAAGCACCAGTTCTCCTTGCAGATGGGCAGTACTCCAGTAAATCTGGTCATATGACCGAAGAAGAGTTGCAGTATGAGAGTCTTGCCACTAGAACAAAGTATGTGGCTAGGTCAGCTGGAGAGGTGTAGCAACACTGACCTAAGTATAAGGTATAGACAAGGGAAAAGAGGAACCAATTTTGGAATAACTGTAAAATTTGGAGGAAAGATTTGGGAAGTCATATTAAGGGTGACCTGAAATAACAATTACAGTGGCTGGGGAAGAGCCAGGAGACAGGAAAACCAACTAATGGTAACTGTGTCTCCATAGATATCATACATCCATGTTTAGGAAGATTCTTAGTAGAAAGAAATTCCGGGTTTATGTTCCCTTTCAAAAGTCTTGGAACGCATTCTCCTACTTACTTTCAGAAGCGGCTGTAATAAAATGGCTTTTATGTTCCTAGCTGATGGAAAAGTTTTTGTTTTCAGGTTATCATCAGAAGACAGTGAAGAAGCTTCTGCTTACTTTTATGATAGTGATGATTCTGGTGAAACTGGAATAACTCAGCATCAAGGAGAAATGGACTTGCTCGGGGAGATTTTGGACACGCTGAGCACACACAGTTCAGATCAAGGAAAGCTCTCAGGAGCAAAGAGCCTGGATTTCTTTAGGTCAATGGATGACATTGATTACAAGGCTGCGGTTAGTCTTCTGCTTTCATTTGAAAAACAACTCCAGTCCCTTTATAGTGGAATCCTGCACTTGTGGAATCAACAACATGCAGCTCAGGCGCTGCAGCATAGTCCTTAGAATTGCTAGTGTGTATTCCCAGGGCTATGTAACAGTATACCCATGCTGGCCGCTGCCTGATGGTTTTTCACCAGCCAGGAGATTGGTTAAACCTTTGTCCAGTTTACCAAGTCATCTTGGAACAGTATTTTGCCCTTTTAACAGTAACCACATATAGAGCTGTGAATAATGAAATAATTTACTTAATCAAATAGTTTAATATTATATTTAGGTGTTCGATCTGGTATTCCCAGAGCTGGTTTTAGTCTTTTTTTATGTGGTTTAGAAGGTATTTATTTCCATTTTCACCTTGCATCCTTAAACTAGTCATAGTGATGTGGTGATGTTTCCATCTTGATTAAGTCATGGGATCCGTGAGGTAATTGCATGTGAAACACTGCTAGAATAGTACTCCAGAGCTTTCTAAGAGGGGTCCTTGATCCTTTTTTAGGTAGAGTTGCACAGGACCTGTAGTGTAAACAAACTGCTTGCCTACAGCTTTAAAACCCTCACCAAGTCACTGCTGTGATGTTAGCCAAAAAAATGTTAGTGTTTTTGAATTCCTGCTCATATCAGCTGTCCAACATTTTCTTTTGCTGAAAGGGATCCTATAGTAGAAGATTCATTACTGGAACAGCAAGTTTTGATGCAGATGTTTAAAAAGCTTGTAAAATTTTATATTATGAGTGTCACACAGGGGTCACATTAATAAAATGCCCATTTTTGTTTGTTTGGCCAAAAAAATTTAATATTGAAAGTTGGTGTAATTAATTACTGAAGCAAAGAGTAAATGCCATCTGGTTTTACTTTTAGTCCAGCTCCTTCTCATATTATGGACACAAACCAGCAAAGTATGTCTTTGTTCACTGTCAAAACTGCTTGTGCAAAGACTGAACGGACAGGGGAGACAGAAATCCTTCCTCTGTACAAAAGGCGATCCTTAGGATAAGAGACAGTGTTCTGGCGAGGAAGTGTAAAAACACTTGATCTTACCTTGTTTCTGGGATTCTTGTTTTGTAACATTGAACCCCAAAGGGGACACACAAAATCCATTACAGTATTTTTGTTTCAAAAGTGCCAGTGTAGAGACGTTTCTTGTGACGTTAACTATAAACACGTGTTCTTTCTTTCAGAACAAGTCAAATGCACCTAGTGAGAGCAACCTTACCCTGCTCTGCAGCAGTGCTAATGATCAAGCAGAGTGGAACCTCGGTCAGGATGACAGTGTCCTCCATGGGAAGCAGCTCCCTCCATCGCCAAGGAAGCAAGCTGCTTCTGGTGGCCATAGAGAATCTCTCTCAAGGCTGGAAGAAGAAAGTGGTGACAAAACCTTTATTACTGACAAGATGGACACCACTAGTATGACATCCCCATTTCCAGTACGATCAAGTGCCCCGTTTGCTTCTCTAGAAAGTTTCAAAGCAGGCTATTCTTCCTGCAAGTATGCAAAGCAGAACGAAACACTAAGCAATACCTCAGAAGATCAGCTCCCAGCAAGTCTTGCTCAACATCCATCCATTCTGGTCCCATGGGAGAAAGATGGGAAGGAAGGAAATGAAACTCCGGAAGAGGGTGGGCTTCTTCAAGAAGTGGTGTCATTATGTAAACTGAGTTCTGCTTTTCACTGTGGTTTAAATATTTCAAAGGATAGCTTATCCAGCAGTAGCAGTGGAAATAAAACATAAGAAAACTATGAGAAGAGAAACTTGACTCCCATCAGAAGTTAAAGGGAGACTACTCAGGACTCCATATAACTCCATATAACATGATAACCAAAAGATGAAAAAGGAATAAGAGATCTTTGATTATAAAAATAATTCTCTTCAGTTGAGTATGCATTTTCTGCCACTGGGACATCCACTTCTGTGTTTACCCAGTTCATTTGTTGGCTGTAGTTAGGTCCACAAAACTGAACTAAATATATGAATGCACTCTTAAATCAGGTACTAGTTAGTCTCTGTGTTAAAAATACAGCAGGTGTACGGTGCTTCCTAGCATTTGCTTCCTCTAAGCAGCAGGAAAGGTATCACCTAACAGGTAACCAGGTTTTGAAGGTACTATATTAATTCCATTAAGCCTGAAATGAACCGAGCAATCTGATTTGCCTGAAATGTACAAATGTTAATGTTTGTAATGAATAATAATTGCCTTAATCTTTTGAGAAGAGGCTTAACTATCTTAGAAGATGAATGCAAATCTACAAAACAGCAATAATGATTTTCCATGGCAAGAATTTGCTTCAGCAAAGGGGGGGGAAAGGAAACTTTTTTTAGATTAAGGAATTTCTTGTGAATATAACTTGGAACTTACTCCAAACTAAAACTGTGGCCCTGTCTTCCAGACTTGGAAAAGGTAGCGCGTGCTTTTCTCTGTTCTGTAAAGTACATGAAGTGCTGAATTATAATGTGACGTTTATTAACTTCTGTTTACAACTAAGACACTTTAAAGACATATTATCCGGTTTCCCTAGGTAAACTATTTCACCTAAAAATTTTCAGAAAGGAAAGTGTAAGTGGAATTGATAGATTTCTGTTATTTTTTATTTTCTACAGTTTAATAGCATTTGTGTCTCTTCTGAACTATTTTCTTTCCATTTTTAGTAGCTACCTTTTTGAAGGTAGATTGAATTACTGTTACACAGAAGTCATATTTAGTTAAATTATTAGAGAGTCATGACTAAAAATTACTTGTAACACTAGAAAACTAAAATTACAGATTCAGCTTAGGACTGCATATATCCAACTCTCATTTTAGCCAAGTTGAACAACCAAAAATCTCTCTCTAAATTCAATGAAGGAGAATAAATGGACTTGATGTATATTTTATTTAGAACAAGCATTTGTCCTCCTGGCAGCGTTTATGAGGAATATTTGGATATTTAAAGTCTGAAAATTCTTGCTGCTGTATCGAGCAGCTCTTTCCTTTTTTTTTTTTTATTTTTTAATTTTCCTCCCCTTTTCTTTTTCCATCTCTCCACCTTACCATATATACATTCTCCTCCACAGTAGCTCAGGACAGGAAAGGCATGAAGCAAGTTTCAGCAGATTGGAATTGACAACTTTGAAGGATATTTGTGATGCAGTTGGCAGAAGTAACACATGGGTATAAAATTAACTGTGCCTGAGAAGAATGCGCTCCTGCTCTTCCAAACTCATGTCAGAAACCTTCTTTCTTTCTTTCCCTCTTCGGCATGAATGGTTAGTCTTAGTCTCAGTATAGGCCTGAGTGAGCACATTCATGAGGTCAGTATTCGGATCAGACTGCGCTTTAATATCTTAATAGTAGTTTGTAGCAAAGTTTAATATCAGTTGCCATATTGAGATTTATGAATTAATTTTCCTTCTAGCTAACACAAATGGAAAGGGGTTTTTTGGCTGCTTTATTACAAGGCAGCTGACCTAAGGGAATGGATCCATATCATTACAGAGGCAATGTTTGATGCCTTACCAAAGAGGTGCAGTAGAGCGAGACCTTGGTTTTGTTAGTGCAAAAGTTCCAGCTTGTTCCAGGATGAGAAGGGCAGGGCCAGTACTTGCCATTGAGGATGAGCCTCCGGAATTACTTTTTTTTCAATCAGTGCAATGAAGGTAAAAGGTTGTAAAAGTGCAAATCTTACAGAAATATCTGTGTCTGATTAGAGCATGAACATTCCTGAGGGCATCTGCAGTCTGCATTGCTGCAGAATCTCAGTATTCCAGAGTTAGAGGTGGTATGTCCAGAGGTCTGTACTCCGAAGTACTTATCTATCCGTTGGTTTCCTCTTGTGTGTCAACATGGTATGTAAGCTGGAAGTGGATTTTTTTTTTTTTTTTATAACATTCTATTTG